GTTCCGACCAAATTTCCGTCGGAAACGTGTTTTCCGACGGATTTCATGGTTTTTCCGACGGATTTCATGGTTTTTCCGACGGAATTTTTCCGTCGGAAATGGCCTGTTTTCTAGTAGTGTTGTGGACATCGAGTATTGCATTTTGACAAGCAAATTGTCAAGAACTATATTCCTACTGCAAAAGCCGAATTGTTTAGGCTGTAAAAGTCGAAAGGTTGCGAAAGCCGAAACATTCTTTTTATCATCTTTTTTAAACTGTTAAAATCAGGCTAAAGTTTCAATGACATATCGAGGGACTTTAGACCAACGATGACATGATTGGGAGGATATCATCCCCTTTTTAATCCTTTTTAAACCGATCTCTTCTCAAGACATGGCATCACCCAGAACGCCTTTACTTGTAAAAGCGTTCTACAAATGCAAAAGATCAATCTAGACTCTTTAGCGCGTTAAGACATAAAAAATACTTTCTTCTAGCTTTAATAGCTACTTGTTTCAAACACTTAGCGAATCAAGGATCGTTTCGACAACCTTAACCCTTCTGAAAGATTCTCCATTCTTTGAGAACTTCGCAGAATAAGTCTCGGATTTATTTGCTTGGCTACTTTGATCCTCGTCTATCCTGGACTCGATCAATGTGGGGGATAACTGTAGACATCTACTTTTTGGCCTCTTGTCCCGACAGGAAGTGCAATGAAGATAAATAAAACCATCTTCGTGTTGGATCAAAGTGAAGAATGCTTATGGATGACTTGATGAACCGCAAAAACATAAAAAGACTAGCCTAACCCAAAAAAATACAAAACAAGGTCCAATTAAATAAACCCGATCATAATTAGGCTTAGGCCCGTGATTAATACCCAATAACGACGGATTTAGAGGCGCCTAGGTTAAAATTAAAGCTGCCACAGAAAAATCCGCGTGCATCTCAATGAGTCGTGCTGGTTTGGCGAGCGCAACTAATTTAGTTGCATGCAACACCCAGTGCAACTTCTAGAGATGCGCTCACGGAAGATTCAAAATTTTATAAAAATAGAATCGAATCTTACCATAAAACCGCACGCAAGACATTTAGTTGCACTGCCCATAACAGCGCAATAAAATCACTTGCGTTGGGATGCCGCGCACAACTCATCCAGATGCACGCGACACCTGCTACGACAGAATGTTTAAAACCCTAATTGCACCCATTCCCTATAAATAGGGGCTTAATACGAGGCTTAAACACACAGAAATTAACCGAAAATCCTGGCAGAAACTCTTGTGAACTTGTGCTTCCAAACCCTGTTGTCCTAAACACTCACCCCTCTTAATCTTTGTTACTACAGTGGAGGTTCCCGAACAAGAAGGAGTTCATAAGTGTTCTAAATGGAGATCTAGCAAAGAGAAGTGGTTAATTCCCAAGCACTTAGATAAATCACATTTACTTTTCTTGTTTAAAGAACTTTAATCAATAAAATAGTGTTGTTTGACCACTTTAAAAGGACAGTTAATTAATCGATTCCACATAGTAGCTTGTGTTAAATAAGATTAGAATTGAATAATTAATTGATTGATTGATCACCTAAGCCAAGGCAAATCTTGTTTATTTTTGCTCCTTTCACGAATTAGAATCAAATAAAGAATAACGACTTTGCAATGTAATTTCTACGTGATTAATGCTTGTAAATAAAATCAACTTAATTAGTTTTAGGTATTGCGTTGCATATATTGTTTGGTGATGAAATTGTAAAAAAGGAAGAGCTAGTAGAGGTTGCATTAGGGCTAGAATAGCGATTCCCCTTTAATGGGAACGTTATTTTAGTACCCTCGCTCCAGAACTCATTTCTGGTTTATGTAGACCAATTGGGCATGGGTAAACTTATGATTTGTGCTAAATATCCCATTAACTCCACATGGGAGAAAGGCATGAACGAGGTTTATAAGTTTTCTCAAAACTTATTGGCGACTCCTACTTGTTTCTTACAAAAAAAGCGTGATGATAGAATCAATACTAATTCAAGCTCCCCCCCCCATACAGTCATGAATTCAAATCCTAATACACCTTAACAAGTGTAATGTCCTAGCCTTTTAAATTTCCATGGGCATTTAAGGAAGGACCCCCTTACGATGGGATCACCATCCTTACACCTGCAAATTAAAATAATAATAGAACATTAAAATCAACTCTACACAAATTTCCAGCAATATATATTCTTATTAAGCCACTCATAAATAAGTAAAATAAGCTGAAATTTTATTTAAAACCTCATACTTTAATCCCAATTAATGGGTAAATAAAATTACTTAAAGAAACTTGATTTTTAATATACTTCAAAAAATTCCAGCAATATATATTAATAAAAACTTGTCGTAATTAGGCTTTAAAATATTTAAATCAAAGGTTTAAACCACCCTAAATCATAATCCTTCAATAATTAATTATTTATGAATCTAGGGTTTCAAAATTGGGGCTTTTTAATTAGAATTAAAATCTGAAAATTTAATTACACCTTTTATTAACACAAAACCTTTAATTTATAATTAGATCTAAGGTTTAAACAAAATTAAAATCAAAGATTATATTTATAATTTTTTTTGTTCGGCAGTCCATAAGGCAGCAGCCACCACGGCCGGCTGGGCTGCTGCCGCGCCCCACTGGTGCCGCTACTGGCGCTTACGCCGGTGATTGTGGCGGCGGCCGGTGGTGTGTGGTGGTGGAGCCGGCCGGCCAAATAAAAGGGGAAGGGGAAAAAGAAAGAAAAAGAAAAGAAAATAAAGGAGAAGGGAGAGAAAGTTTACCTTGGGTTTTCCCCACTCTAGGCAAAATTTAATTTGCTCAAATGTTGAATACCCCTTTCTCTAGAAACCCATCTTACCTAAACTTCCCTTTTTTAATCTTTCCTAAACCCTTTCCTAATAAAACTTTACTAAAGTAAAACTTTCCTAAATTAAATTCCAACTTAATAAAATAATTAATTTAACTAATACTTTCCTTTTATAAAATATATCCAACTTGTTTAAAATAAATAGTTAAAATATCATAAATAATTCATTTCAAATTATTTAAATACTCCACAAAATACTTATTTTAAATAAAATGCTTATAAAAATACGGGGTATTACAAACATTGATACAACTAACAATGCACAGAGCTCTGTTGACAGGTCCTAGAAGCAAGATGCCGAAGCATACCTCGAGATTGCTGAGTATAGATTCCGCGTTGACATTGGGGGCGTGGTGAATGCCTTGCATTACTTAGGTGATTTCGCTCGGTTGCCCAATTTGAGCGACAAGTCAAACGAAAGCAAAGACAAGTCCAAGTGGTGCGACTACCATAGTGACCATAGACTTCGTACAAAAATGTAACACCCCCAATTTACTAATTAATTATAAATAAAATTAAAGGAAAAATAAACAACCTCTAAATAAAATTGCGGAAGCATACACCTAAATCAGAGGTGTTATCGCCACACTTGACAACCTGTCATGTGCTAAGACTTACAAAATCCCAATAATTACAACCCAATAAACTAGGTGAGCTATTTATATGTACAACTTCACAAACTCGTTATAGCATACTAATCGAAACACTTGAGCTCCTTTAGCAAAGATCACTTGATTAACCTGCTTAGAAAATCTTGTCTTCTCACTATTAAGGACCCATTGCAGGGCCACCATAAGAAAAAGACATGGCCGCAAACACAAGTAGCACAAACTAACAAACGCACACACGTCAGCAAAAAAGTTGAGTAATCACCACTTATCAGAATACTAAGGATTATGAAATAATTAATGTTAGCAACTCAATTAAACAATGTAGTTCAAAACTACATTACACATTATACTCTGAAAATAACCTTTGTCAACTAAACCTTTGATACGTGTTGTTTCCCATATAAAATTAATTAATAATTTACCTTAACTTAAATCTCAATAATATTAACAACTAGTAAAAAGGGTAAGTAAGGGTCGAACCCACGAGGAGATAAATTGATTCTATAAACTCAAAATAACTCGAAACATAAACTATATATACATAAAGAATATTATTTACACTATATACATGAGAATGGGGGGTTTTTATCAAACGAGTAACTAAGCCAAACAAGATTAAATTATATACTAGTCTACTATTAGAATAGACGATGCAAACCACCAATGTGATAACAATTCGATCATTGATTAAAACGATATAACTTAATACCCAACTTCTTTCATATAGTCTCCTTCAATATTCAATTTAATATTTAGGTAGTCAAATTACCGCCGCAGTCGATTTGACATGTATAGCTCACTAGAAATTAGAATCTTACTAATAACTTTCTACCCCAATAAACTTGATTTATTAGACCAATCCACAAACTCAACAAAACTACGATTGAGCCGCTCAAACTAGAAATATCGAGTCATTCACTCTAAATTATCAATTAACGCCGCATCAAATAATAATTTAGCATAGTCTAATTATTTCATACTAGCAACTGTGATGCTATTACAAGTATAATTAAATTAAATGTTCATATAAAAACAAGAAAATCATGTGAATCAATTAAATATCAAACTTGAATGTTGAAATACGGTTATACTCAGCGTTTAAACGACGAAATATAAATTAGGAAATTAAAGATCAAGTTACATCCAATTCACAAAGTAGAAGCAACCAAATTAATCACAAAATTAAGATGAGGAGTAAATTAAGGAGAACTTATGAACTGAGCCAAGAATCAAACAACTGCTGCTCGAATCCACTGTAAAATTCGTCCCTTCACCTTCTAATACCACCCAATCAATCAACCTTGGACCAATTCGTGCTCTACTCAGCCTCACGAACTTTTTATATTTTTGTGGTAATACTTGTGTATTTTCTAGGAGGGATCATTGGAGATTTTATAACCGAAAACAACCTAGGTTTTCTGGGTTTGATTGGATAGAATTGTAGAATAAGATAGAGATTCATCTTATCAATCTCTTGCCTTGAATTTCGGATGAATTCGTAGCTCTTATTGAAGATGAGCACTGACTTTGGTTCTTTGGTTTCCACGCCTAATAGTTAGACACTTCTTCTTATCTTTTTTCTTTTCTTTTATTTCTTTTTAATTTGCAATTCCTTGGGTGCTCTTCACGTGATTTTGAGCTAGTAGGAAGTATTTTGCCTCCATTTCCTAATCAAAATAATGATAAACATATCAAGTACTCTAATCCCTACCTTATAAAAAGTAGGAGATTGTTCTTATGAACAGTGCACGAACCTTTTTACCCTTAAAATATTTATTTACCTTCTTATCCCTATTCATAAATGAGTTTTGAGATTTCTTCCTTTCTCCCTCCTCCTCATCTTTGTTCACCATGAGTAGAAGAAACCCCAAAGAGTAGGAGACAAAGAAGATGAAGAACAACCAAGAGTCTCCAATCCCCCGCTAGCCGGAAATGTCGCAAGGCTCACATCTCGGTGCCATTGAACGTCCTTCGTTTGATTTTGAAAACTCCACTCTATAAAGTAAGCACAACTTCTGAACAATGCCCATGTACAAAGACGACCAAGTCTTGGTTGTTCGTGGTACCTCATGGTCGCTTCTTGGGAGCTCGACATTCAGGTATTTCTCGTTTTTTCTTTCTTAATTTATCAATTTTAATTTTATGCAATTTCATGTTATTTTTGTGATGTCAAGTTCTAAAATTCTCTATTATTATTTTGATTACAATTGTTGATTATTTGAACTTTGAGTTTTTGTAAATTTTCTGAAATTACAGATTAGGTATTTTGTGTTGTTGATTATTGATGAGTTAATTATTTTTTCGAAGCTTTTTAGAACCCTAATTACTGAAAACTTTGATCAATTATTAAGTTTATCTTTTGACTTCTCCTTTCTTTCTCCTCTGTTTGTTTCTGTCTGGTAAATATCTTCTTGGTAAGCTTTGTTGATTATTTTATTTGATTAGAGAGGACGAGAGGTGAATAGTTTGATGATTAAGTAGAGTATTTTTTATTAGAGAGGACATTTACCAAAGGAAGGTGGATAATACAAGGATGATCTTTATTAAACACTTGCTGGAAGCTAAAAATGTCAGACTTATTAATGTCCACAATTGTGTCCTTTCTAATGGTAAGGAATTTGCTCATTAGCCTCTTACAGCTGGTGGTGGACAGAGAGGGTGGAAATTTCAGGTATAAGCTGGAATTGTCAGCCAAATCCATCACAAATCGCGTTTCTTTGGTTAAATATTGAAATAGTGGTTTACATAGGTTGCTAGATTACGAGTTCATTCCAAACTATACAATGGAGTTCCATCTTCATTGTAAGCTTATTGTCTTTAGTTTTCTGCTTTTATATGTGTTTGCATTGTCTCTCTTTTAATGCACTCACTGCCAGCATAGTATAACACTCATTTAGGATCCTATGCTTATAATTAGTGATTGACATTTATTTAATTGAAATTTTAAATGGTTTATTCATAGGTAAAGGGCAGCCTACCATGGAAAGGCCTACAAGACTGAGGATTGCCTTTGGAGCAGCAAAAGGATAAGCATATTTGCATGAGGATCTTAAGGGGATAGCTTACATGGATGACAAGTTAGTTGATTGGGCATGCAATTTCTCCATACATTGAGCTATTCATTGTATTCCTCTTGTTTTTAACTAATCAGCCTAACAATTGATAAGATAAATCATACGAGTAATAACCCTCAAATTCAAACTAAGACGTGGAAAGGTAGTATATTTTGCCCATACCTAATTGCTATTTCAATATTCAATCTACTCTAACTGCAATTCTTACCACTCTTAACTCCAATTTTTTTCCCAAGAGACTTTTCTTTTTTATTAGTCTGAAACTTTCCTATTTATATTAACCATCTGCCCCCACTGATGTTAAATAAGAACCTCTATTCACCTATGATGTCCTGTCATGCTTTGCTGCTTTGTTAGTTTTGAATATTGCCATTAATTGGTGGCAGCAAATGAAAAAGAATAAGATTACTTCAGTCAAACGCGGGTGATTATTAAGCTTAATAAAAAAAAAGTCATGAACACTCTTACTTATTTGTACTCGCTTATCAACTCTAAGCTTGATAACTTACCAAATTGACATTGTGTAATAGTAGCTTGTTAGATAAACTCCTATGTCTTTTCCCTTAAAAAAATGTTTTTAGCATTATTGGACAGGGTGATTGGCTAGAATTTGAAGCAATAACTACCGGCTTGGCGACTAAGCCCATGTACTATTGTACTTTCTCAAACGTCCCTGATCAGAATTTGGGTTCTAAAATGGCAAAGGAAAGCCATTTTCTTTGCCTGAACGCAACTATAGCAGCAACATGAAGTGGCTTCTTACAAAGAGCACTGGCATACACAACACCTTTTGGTTAGCTTTTGATACCAATGTAATTTGTATTAGTAAGATTAAACTACATTGATGGGTCATTGGTTGTAATTTTTGCTTTTTAAAAAACACAAATCATCTTTGAACTCTTTTCTGGTACTACTTAACCAGCCCAAATCTTTTTGATAGATGCAATAGTTTCATGGTTATGTTCAAAAATTTCAAACCTATGAATATTATTGTTTTTGCATTACACATAATAATTATGGCCTAACTTCAATCTTCAAAAGGCTTCATTTAGAAAAACTTTGATTACAAAAACACAACTGTTGTTAAGACTACTTGGTTAGAACTTAAATTTGTTGGATTTTTAATTTATGTTTTTCGATAATCAAGTATTGTTGGATGTATCACTTATGAAACTTCATTTATTGTGCAACAACTTTAGGTTGTGTAAGTAATTCAGAATCACTAATGCACCAATTTAAATTTCTGCATACATCTATGATATTTAAACACAAGCTAAGATAACTTAATCGTAATGGCTAGCCACTTCGCACGGCGCGTCGGCCGCCCTATTATAAGAAATTTAGTAAAAGAATACATCTAATATGAATATACTCCTAAAATTATATAAGTAAATAAATTCCTAAAATAATGAATACAAGGAAATAATAAAACTAATATTTGGGACTAAAAATATGGTATATTATGCACTTATCAAATTCCCCCATACTTAGTGTTTGATCGCCCTCGAACAAACTAAATAAAACTAACCTATAAAAGAAATAAACCTAATTCACTGTCGTCCTAGAGGACGAGTATGGTCTTGTGAGGGTTTGCAGTTTACATACCCACAAAGTCTCTTTATTTGGAATCTTTGAACCAATCAGCAAATACAACTAAAATAAGCATTTAAGGACTCCCCAGCAAGCATGGACCATATATTTGACATTTATAAAGATTTAAACACCCTCAATGTCCGACATCGTATCATTTCCGTTTCTCACCTTTATTTTTATGTATTTGATTCGATGTCTCTGATCATCATAACTTTTATGGAATGTAAAGGAACAAGGTAAAATAATGGTGGGAGATATGTTTAGGCTTGTAGTGGTAAAGGTGGAAATTAGTAGAGCGCATTAGTAGTACATTTATATCACATATCTCCAACATTGAACTTAGACATATATATTTTTTTTCCAATCTCAGGACTCTTAATGCTTGTCTCTGTCAAATAGTTCTTGTAACGAGTGTTCGACCAGTGACTCCCGGTTCAATTGGCCCAAGACACTAGGTTTTAAGATACCCTACAGATCTACTTACTCGAACTACTTAAGCATGAGATAAAAACATCACACGTACATAACTAGGTTTTGAACTTTTTTTATTTAAATTTTATTATTATAACTTTATAAACCCAGACATTGGTACGCATAGCCTTCAAATATGAAAATTTTCATTAGAAAACCACCAAATAATTACAACCACCATTCCATTTTACATCACAATTTAACAATATGCTCTACTAACCCCAATATTAAAGGTGTTTCAATTGGTCTCTGGACAGAGGCACATTTGTGAGTTTTATATGATAAGAAAATAAACTTAAGCTCAAATTGGCTCAATAGTGGATGATGTTAATGGTAGGCTTTGAGACATGATAAAGTTATTAGTGAGGAACAAAAACTTTTACTAATCATACCGAAGAGGGGTTTAATTTTTTTTTTTTTTTTTTTTTTTTTTTTTTTTTTTTTTTTTCTGTAATCCACAGAATGCGATAAATAAAAGACATTTTTTTTTATTTGGTGATTAGCCCAAAGTTCCATTATTTATTCACGAAACTAGCAATCTTAAAAAAAACAAACTTTCTAATCTAAAATTTGGCAGCACCTCCTCTAAATTAGGAACAATTCACTCAAAAATGAGCTATTTTAATAATTGTTTTTACATCCAAATATCCATTCAAATAGTTTTCTCTCCACAAAAACCAAACCAATTTCATTTATTAAATCCCCCCTCCCGCACTTAATCTTTTCATTGTCCTCAATGAAAACAAAGTTAAGAAAGGAAAGTGAAACTTAGCTGGTCATGTGAGCTATCTTAACGTTGATGGATCAACTCCAAGTTTTGTACTATGTTTTGGAAGACTCGCAGAATTTAAACTTTGAATCAAGGTGAAGCATCAAGCAGATCATTTGTCTTATCAGGAAGTGAAATGTCCTGTCTAGCCCTTTGTATTTAGCTTGTTTAATCTGCCAGATCAACTTGGGGTAAGGCTGGTTCTGATAACAGAACGAAAAGAACACACAAAACTATCATGAACTATAATAAATAACGAAAGAAAGAAAGAAAGAAAGAAAGTGTAGAAAAATAATCTTGGGTTGCCTCCCAAGCAGCGCCTCTGTTTAAAGTCGTTGGCTCGACATATTTCCTTCCTCAGTCTGATCAAAAGTCAATTTCTTCAATCATCCCCGCAAAGTCATAGTCGTAAAATGGTTTCAACCTGTGACTATTCACTTTAAACTCCTTATTAGTTTCCAAGCTTTTAATTTCAACTGCACCATGTGGAAAAATATTAGTAATAACAAAAGGTCCTAGCCATCTAGATCGAAGTTTTCCAGGGAACAACTTGAGACAAGCATTATATAAAAGAACTTTATGTCCTACAGTGAAATCAGATTTAACAATTCTCTTATCATGAAAATCCTTAGTCTTATCTTTATAAATCTGATTATTTTCATAAGCCTCTAATCTGATTTCCTCTAGCTCTTGTAAACCAAGTTTCTGTTGTTGTCTAGCTAACTCATAATCCATATTACACTGCTTCACAGCCAAATAAGACCTGTGTTTAAGTTCTACAGGTAAATGACATCCTTTACCAATCACAAGGAGATATGGTGACATTCCTATAGGTGTTTTATAAGCTGTCCTATAAGCCCATAAAGCATCTTCTAGCCTAAGGCTCCAATCCTTCCTATTAGGATTCACCACTTTCTCTAGGATAGATTTGATTTTCCTATTTGAAACTTCAGCTAGCCCATTAGTTTGGGGGTGGTAGGCAGTTGCTACTCTATGTGTCACATGATACTTTACAAGAAGGGTGCCAAAAGTTTTGTTACAAAAATGGGTTCCCCTATCACTGATTATGGCTTTTGGTAAACCAAAACTATTAAAAATATGACTTTTGACAAATTTTACAACAATTTTAGCATTATCCGTTTGGGTAGCTATGGCTTCCACCTATTTAGAAACATAATCTACAGCAAGCACAATGTAAAGATAACCAAAAGAAGAAGGAAAGGGGCCCATAAAATCAATGCGCCACACATCAAAGATTTCACAAACTATGATTCCATGTTGAGGCATTTCGTTCCTTTTAGAAATATTACTTGTTTTATGACCTTGCTCGCAAAATTTAGAAAGCATGTAAGCATCTTTAAATAATGAAGGCTAATATAAACCACATTGCAGTACCTTAAACGCGGTTCGTTGAGGTCCAAAATGGCCACCAACTTTAAGAGAATGACAAAAATTCAAAATTGAAGAAAATTCAGATTCATCTACACACCTTATCATGTGATCAAAACAAAATTTCCACAGATATGGATCATCCAAAAGATAATATTTAGAATCAGATTTAATCTTATTCTTTTGAGGTTTAGTGAGTGTAGGGGGAAATGTTCCAGTCACTAGGTAATTAACAATATCGGCATACCAAGGAGTGTCAACACTATATAAAGATGCAAGCTGCTCATCAGGAAAAATTTCAGTTATTATAGGCCCATCCTCTGGGTACAATTCTACTTAGATGGTCAGCAACTGGGTTTTCAACACCCTTTCTATCTTTAATTTATACATTAAATTCCTGCAATAGAAGCATCCACCTAAGCAACTTAGGTATTGAGTGACTTTTGTTTAACAAGTAATTTAAGAGCTGCATGATCAGAATAAACAATCACACGAGTGCCATGTAAGTAGGGCCTAAACTTTTCTAAAGCAAAAACAACAACATATATCTCTTTTTCAGTTATAGTGTAATTGCATTAGGCATAATCCAGTGATTTAAAAGCATAAAGGATCACATAAGACTCTTTATCCTTCTTTTGCCCTAAAATAGCTCCTATAACCTTATTATTAGCATTCCACATAATTTCAAAAGGCAAAGACCAATCAGAGGGTCTAATCATAGGAGCACTTGTCAATTTGTCTTTTAAATCGTCAAAAGCTTTCTTGCATTCATCATTAAAGTCAAAATAGCATCTTTAGCAACCAAGGCACATAAAGGTGAAGCAATCTTAGAGAAATTTTTAGTAAAGCATCTATAAAATCAAGCATGTCCTAAAAATGATGATCTAACTTCACGAACACATGTAGGATATTGGAAAGAACTAATGACATCAATTTTCACTTTATCAACCTCTAAACCCTTGGAACTAACAATATGACCAAGAACTACACCTTGTTCAACCATAAAATGACATTTTAAAAAATTCAAAACAAGGTTAGTTTCAACACATCTTTTCAAAACTTGAGATAAAGCATGAAGACATCTATCAAATGAATCACCAAACACAGTAAAATCATCCATAAACACTTCCATATCTTGTTAAATCAAATCAGAAAATATACTCATCATGCATCTTTGAAATGTTCTAGGGGCATTACATAAACCAAAAGGCATTCTTATAAAAGCAAATGTACCAAAAGGACAAGTAAAAGTGGTTTTATCTTGATCTTCAGGGGCGATGGGTACTTGTGTGTAACCAGAATAACCATCATGAGAACAGAAAAAAGATTGTCCAACAAGTTTTTTTAACATTTGATCAATAAATGGAAGGGGAAAATGGTCTTTTCTAGTAGTTTGATTAAGCTTCCTATATTCAACACAAACTCTCCATCCATTGGAAGCTCTAGTAGGGACAAGTTCTCCTTTATTTTTCTCTACAACAATTATTCCACTCTTTTTAGGTACCACATGAATTGGACTTACCCATTGGGAATCAGAAATAGGGTAAATCACTATCTAACCACTTTAGAATTTCCTTTTTTACTACTTCCATAATCGAAGGATTTAATCTACGTTGAGCCTCTCTAGTTGGTTTAGCATCTTTTTCAAGAAAAATTTTATGCATGCACATGACGGGTGTTTTGGGTGTTTTTGTCCCTTGGGAGAGTTATGTCGCAAAGACTGGTCTGGCTCGAGCTACACCTGCAAAAACACGGAGACTCCGGTTGTAGGAGCTCCACCTCCAACGATCAAGTTAGTAACTTGAAAAGGAATAAAGAGTGCGAAAATTTAGGTGGGTATCTGCTTGGATTCCAAGATAAGGTGTTTCTCTGATGCGAGAGAATGTAGGTGTAATAAATGATTGATTGTCTCCCCAAAATGGGGGAATATCTCCCTATTTATAGGGTCGTTGGGAGGTGTGCCCCTATCTAGGTCACTTGACCTAGATTTTAGTGGGCTGCGCCGTTTTACGGGGATTATAGGAAATTGGGCCCTTGAAGGCTGTAATTTTGGGAAATATCTGAAGGGGACACGTGTTAGATGGCTATTGGTCCACTTGGACCAGCCTGGGCTTGACATGTGGCCTTCTTTCATTGGTCCACATGTCTAGGGTATTTTTACCCTAAACATTTGCCCCTCCCAGGGGTCACGTGGCGGGCCATGTGACGCCTGTGACACGTGTCCACCTGTGAGAGGTGAACAATGAAAACGACTAGTAAAATCTAGGGTATGACGGGGATGCCCCCGTTTTACCCCTCTATAAAGGGGTTTACCCCCCTTCCCTTCTTTCACTATTTTATTTACTTTGACTTTCTAGAGAGAGAAAGAGAGATTCTTAGAGAGAGATACTCTGATCCCGCCTGCGTTAGATTCTCAAGATTTCCGTGTGCTCACTTTTACAACACCCGGTCACCCGTCTATAGCAGTTTTTAGGGTTTTCAGAGCTAAAGTAAGGTAACCGCTTGTACCATTTTTTAAATTTTCCTTCATTTCAATTTGTATACATTCTTTTTTCCTTCTGTATACATAGTCTTTAAAAATAAAAATGAGCTCTCAATCCACACACTCGGCACTGCCTAGGACATTTAGCCGGTCTCCCAGCACGGCTGAATCTAGAACATGGGGTGCCTTTTCTGGACTGTCGGAACTGCTGTGCTCATCCCCGAATTCCTCCCTCTCTGTGTCTGTGTAGGACACAATGGCTAGAGTTAAACAAACAACCACTAAGCCTAGAAGCTAGCGCGCCATGGAAGTGCCCGCTGATGAGGTTGTTCCGGATGAGGAACAAGAGGAATCAGAGGAGAGAAGTGGTTCCATTGATCAGGCTCCCTCCCCCTCCGGTAGCTCAAGCGTGAGGGAGGTAGGCGGCGAAGAGGCCGCCTCCTCTCATGGGTCAAAAGAGGAGGCAGGCGACAACGATGCCGCCGAAAAATCGGGGGGAGAGGCATTTGGCTCCGATTAGGACAATTTTGCGGCTGACTACCAGTAGCCGGCTAAGACTTCAGCTAACCCTGACCCGAAGAAGATAAGGATGCTTCTGGGTGATGTAGCCTTGCTAAACAGCAGCTTCAAGGCCTTCAAAGAAAAACACCCCATTGGAAAGGGGTGGGATATTATAGTTCCGCTTGGGGATGCGGTCATGGCTTGGGAGGACAACATTGAGAATGCAGACAACTTATTTGTCTTCTACGAGGCGATAATAGAAGCCGACCTCCGATTCCCCCTCCATACTGGGATTAGGAAAATCCTCAAGGGGTACGATCTGGGTGTTTGGCAGCTCACCCCAAACTCGTAAGTGAACATTATGAGTTACATTGCCACCTGCGAGCTCTAGAATATAGCCCCTAGCTTTTCCGCCTTCGCTCATATGCACAATCTGAGCAAGGCCCCAGGCGGTCATGGGTTGTGGTATACTCTTACCACTTTGCCCTAATATCTAATGACCTTGGACAAGGTGTCCAAATGGTCCGGGTGGAAGGAGAAGTTTTATTTGATCTCCTCCCCCACTCTGAAACACAATCGGACGTTGTGCTGGTACAATAAAGAACCGGCTCTCTTGGGCAGGAAATGTCCTCTCCCAGCACTCTCTTTTAGAGCTCAGGAGCAAATAATGGACCCGGGTTTCTTCGAGACCACAACTGAGCCCTTGGGGGATGGGACTCATATTATTGTGCTAAAGAATTGGATCCCCCATACGGACTTCTTCAAGGATAAAAGATTCCTGTCCGCCTGCGGGTTAATCACCATGTTTCCCAAGGGTAGATCCACTTTGCATCCGACAATTATGTTGTTTTTTGTTTTTGTACTTCAAATTTTTATTATTTTAACTAACTCCCCGTTTTCCCCTTGCAGCCGACGCCTTGAAGATGGTAGATCCGGAGAAGACCCCGACTAAATCTGCTGCGCAATTGTGCAAAGAGAGCGTGCTCTCCAAGAGAGCAGCCGTTGAGGCCAAGAAAAGCGAGGTATGACCGCCTGACCTATCTTATTTTCTTTAAATTTATTCTAAGTGCTTTTGTCGAGCAGTAACTTTTGATCCTCTATTTGCATGATGCCATCAAGCGCGTTTCACGCTCCATCTCCAAGCTTTTCAAAAGACAAGGGGAGGAGCTGGATAAAACTTCGGCTGCCAAGGCCGCAAAGAAGAACCCTACCCAGTCAACTTCCTCTGCCAATCCGGATTGTCCTATGACCGGCGACAAGTCACCATCAGTTATGAAGTTTTGAGTGAAAGCTCAAAACGTTTAGGGAAGAAAGCGCCGGATGGCTCTACGGCATCAAAGGGTGGCCAACCACCCAATGTTGCAGGCGGTGCGAAAACGACTAGGGAGGGGGATGCCTCAAAGCCCCATCCTCAAACCCAAGGTATGAATAAGATTGAACTTCCTTGGCCACTTGACTTTATGCGAGTCAAGACTAAGGTTAACCCTTCGGGCGGTTCAGTCAGCAGCCAGCAATGAATGAATGCCAACTACACTGCATCCCTCTCACCAAGTACTTCTTATGGTGCAGATCTTTCATATGATGAGCCTAATCTTCCTAGGTTTGCAAAACAGATGGTGAGGACCCTCACCCGGTCTGAGAAAAACTCCATACCTGATCTGTAGTTAGTGGACTTCGAACGGATAATGGGCCAACTGGCTGAGGTAAACTGTTTTCTAAATTGATTATGATATCTTTTCTTCTATTTTTGTCAAGTGTTTTATATTCCAGCTGTCCCTTTCTAGGTTATGCTGAGGGTGGATGGGCTTCAGGGCCCCTTTAGGCGGAAACAAGAAGAGGTAAATGACGCCAAACGGAGGGCCACTCAAAACCTTAACTCTGCTGAATATGCTAATTATATGTCTGAATTAAAGATTAAAGTAGTAGAGTTGCAACAGGAGGAGCTAATAGGGAACCTGATGGCTGCTAACGATGAAGCCAACAACCGGGCTAATGACCTTGAGCTAAAACAGAAGAATGGTCAATCTGATCTCAAGGCATTAGAGAACGCTGATAAGAAGAACACCAAGCTCTGGGCGGACGTTGCCCGGTTGGGAGTGGAGCTGGTCAACCTGCGGAACCGACAGCAGGATGAAATTGCAAAGGAGCAGACCCGGCTGGTGGAGGAAAATGAGCGAGACAATACGACCCGCCTGAAGAGAGCCTGGGGGCTCCTCTATCCAGACATTGACTTTGAAGTCTACAAACTTAGGTATGATTATGCCACTACGGTGTATGATGCCTAAGTTTTGGGAGAGGCAGCTCCGCCTCGCTTAAAAGACTGGGCTACCGAGCTGGGATATGAGTCTTAGATGATGAAGAGGAGCTGGCGGAGGGCCAACAAAACCAAGAAAGCAAGCCTCAAGCGGCTAAGGATCAATCAAGAGCCCTCCTTACAGGTCAGGACCACCGGAGCAGCAGCTTCCACCTTATCCTTGAATCAGCCTCCCCAAATTCTGTGGCAGTATGCTATTTATTTTCTTTTTCGTCTTGTTAGCCAAGTATGTTGTAATTTTACCAACTATGGAGTTGGGCTGACAATTATTTTCTTTTAACTCTGCACCAGATATGATTCCGGTTAACAATCATTTTGGCCTTTGTGCCAATTTTAATTTTATGAAGTATTCTGACTTTGTCGGTTTTTTTTATACATGTTTGCATTTGTGTTTGAATTTTAATTTTTAAATTGAATTTTGCGTATATACTGCAATTCTTTGATATTTTGCCTTACTTTTAAAAAGCATGCGACAGATTGTAATCCGGCTGTTCTTGACCCTAGACGGCTGTGTGGTTGGTTTCATTTCAAATTAATTGATTGGCTTGAAAACGTTTGATACTTTGAGAAGTATGAGATGTTTTTATGCCAATCAATCACAAAGCTGGGCTACTATGTGGCTGCCAAGGAGCTGCCTTAAGGTGGTGCAACCCTTACGTGGCTGCTGCTCGCGGCCAGCACCATGGCGTGCCAGCCAGCAAGCAGCAGTACCATGGCGCGGCAGCAGTGCCAGCTATGCGTATTGTTGTGCGTGGCTCGGCTGCCCATCGCATTACTTGCGCGAGCTCAAGCCTTGTGGTGCGGGGCATGTTATATATGTATGTATGCATGTTGG